TGTCGGCTTCCAGATGTATGCCTTTCGCCATCAACTGACTGACGCTCAGTAAGTTGTAACCAAGTCCTTCTGCTATCAGGACTTTTGACATTTGCAGTACGACATTCGTCTCTCGTGACTGAAGTTGCACTACCCCTTGCCGTCGTGTGCGCAGGTTCTGGTTATTGGCGACAGTGATGACGACTTCTCGTTGAAGTTGGTGCTCGCGTTGAACGAAACATCTTGAGGAACACATGTGTTGTCCGCAGCAACTGTCCAAGAACCATGTATCCTTTCCGGACGGCTCGCTTTGGGCGATGGCGGCGTACGTCGGGTTTGGTTGAAGTGACTTGCGGCGAGGCGTATTGTTGTCGAGTTGTTCTTCTGGTGAGTAATATGGTGGTGAATCAGTTGTGCAGGAGTCACTCAGCCTTGCCATGCAGCTGACGATGTTTCTTGTTTCTTTTGCAGGTTGTCCTGTTGATGTTGTTGAGACGTGGACTGAAGTTGTCGGGTTTGCTTGCGTTGAAGTGACTTGACTGCTTGAAGGGCGAAGTTGGCGTTGTCGATTTGGGCAGTGCGTACGAGGATGCCCTGAAGTCTTGCAGAGGTGGCAGAACGAAGGTATGAATTTCGGTCGATTGTTGTTGTTGTAGCGCCGTTGAGTGTGAAACGCGAATTCGGGCACTGACACCTTTCTCCTTTGTCGTTCTTCTTGCAGGTCCATGTCTTGCTGTTCGGCGTGGATTTCGGCGCAAAGTGCCGCTTCAGAGATTTTCCCGTGGGCTCATAGTATGGCGCGAGTGGAGCGCCAGTGAGGACCAAGACCGCCGATGACAACCGTGACGAAGGCGTCCTCTGAAATCGATCCTCCACATCGAAGAAGCTTGTCGCGCAGCCCGCGGCAGCAGCTGATATACGCCATTCCCTTCTCGCCCGATTTCATTTCGATGGTAGTTAGCTGCGCCATTAACCGACTTTGGTTTACGCTATCTGTTGCTTGATACAGGCTCTTCAAGTGATTGTACGCGAGCTCCGCGGAGTTGCCATAGCCTCGGTAAGACCGAATGTTTTGTTGTTGAGATGGAGTGATGTTCCTCAACAGTATCGTGTACGCCATCATTGATTGATAGGTGTACTGCTGCTTCTCATACTTTGTGTCGTTTGTTGGGTATGGCAGGGACCCGTCGAAGAAGCCGAGGATTTGCGCTCCTTCCATCATCAGTTCAAATTCGAATGACCAGGTGAAGAAGTCCTTCCCGTCGAAGGGTTTTGTCGTTTGCAGTTTTAGAACGTGCGCGAACTGTGGCGGAACTTGTAGTGCGTCCAACGTTCTCTCTTGTCCCGGTGCAGGTTGTGGTTGTGGCATGAAGCTGACGGAGCCGCGCTGAGGCTCGTACGGAGCGAAGGTAGGTTGCTGTTGTTGATTCCCGCGTGCGTAGGATGAGCCATCGAGACTCATGGGCGTCACATTGTTGTTGTTGTTGCTGTTGTTTGATTGCACAGGTCCTCCTTGCTGATGCTGCTCGTAGAAGGACACGAAGGAGAAGAATTTCTCCATCATGCTTGGATCGAAGCCCACGCCTTGGTTTGCGGGTGTTTCAGTAGACCCAGCTGCCGGTCTCGTTGTTGTGCCTTCCTCTGTCTGTAGGCCAGAGGCAGGAGGTGGAGTAGGAGTAGTACCAGGAGAGCCGTTGGAGGAGCTCCTCTCCTTTCTAGTAGACATATCTCTTGGTGTATTAAGTATTGAGGAGAAATGATTTAACTCTAACCTGCTCTCATACCATGTTGGGCTGAGTGCCCTTTAGGATCTTTGGTAGAGTTAGAGTCTGAGTAAAGTGATGTAGTTGACAAAGTTTGAAGAAAGAAAGAGAATTGAACTAGCAAGAAATGGGGATACAAATAGCAAACCCTAGAAGGGTTGTACTCGCTATAGAGCACCCCACTACAGGCTAGAGCATAAGATAACATTCTGACACACCCCCATAGCCAAAGTGGGGTGTAATCAGCAGAGCAGGCAAAGTAGTACAAGCTCAGGGTGGATCACAATGTCACCACACATTCTGAGCACAAGTTTAAGAAGCAATAGTTTAGAGTTCATAATTATGAGCAAAGCTAGTGGTAGTCACAACGGGCAAGTGAGGAGGAGGAGAGAGAGTGAGGGGAGAGGAGATAGGAGGCGACGGCTGAAGCTGCAGACACACGGGCAACAGGAGGCAGACTGGCACAGCGGCTACCGGACAGCGCCCGGACTACAGGAGTAACAGGCCCCGCGGCTAAAGTAGCGGCAGACGAGCAACGGACCCACGGGCGGCTGGCGTAGAAGTCTAGCTCACTGGGCTACCGGGACAGCGCCCCGGACTACAGGTGCTGCGGACAACAGTACGGCAACCTCCATGCAGCTTCCCCAAACAGTCCCACCCCCCCGACACGCACCCGCTGTTACACCGCTAGCTCCACTCCCACGCACCCCCCTTAAACCCTAAACCCCAGTCTCCCACACAACCACCCCCTTCACCGACAGCTGCAGCAGTGGGAGACGAAGGAGGAGGAGGAGCAAAGGGAGGAAGGCACACCGGCCACCCCCATACCCGACACCCCACCGCTCGCGCGGCCCCCTCAGGAGCCGCGATGGGCGACGGGAAAAGGGGGGGGGGGAAGGCGGGGACGGGGCCGGGGCCGCGACGGGTAGGGCGACGGGCCGCATATAGTGCGGCGGTAGGGCCGCAGGTAGGGCGGCTGGTGGGCCGCAGGTAGGGCGGCGAGTGGCCGCAGGTAGGGCGGCTCGCGGGCCGCAGGTAGGGCGGCGGGTGGGCCGCGAAGGTAGGGCGACGGGTGGCCGCAGGTAGGGCGGCGGGTGGGCCGCGAAGGTAGGGCGGCGGGTGGCCGCGAAGGTAGGGCGGCGGGTGGGCCGCGAAGGTAGGGCGGCGGGCGGCCGCGACGGGTCGGGCAGCGGGGCCGCGACGGGTCCCCGTCGCCCGTCGCGGCGCCTCCAGAAGGCGACGCGACGAACGACGGGGCAGACGCCCGCCGCGCGCCTCGGGGCGCACAGCGGGCAGAGAACCACCGCGCGCCTCGGGGCGCACGGCGGGCAGAAAACCGTCGCGCGCCTCGGGGCGCACGGCGGGCAGAAAACCGCCGCGCGCCTCGGGGCGCACGGCGGGAAGGAAAAGTAGCAGCGGAAGCGAGGTGGTAACCCACCCACAGGATCGATCCAAGGGGATGGACCTGCTCTGATAGCATGACAAAGTTTGAAGAAAGAAAGAGAATTGAACTAGCAAGAAATGGGGATACAAATAGCAAACCCTAGAAGGGTTGTATTCGCTATAGAGCACCCCACTACAGGCTAGAGCATAAGATAACATTCTGACAGTAGTAGCGGAAGCGTTTTGAGTAAGGTATTTGAAACACCTTGCGCTAGTATGTGAGGGCAAAGTAAGTTGATTAAAGCAAAGAGATACAAGGATATATATATATATATATGAATACAGAGAATATGAAGAGACATTATAACTACTTTACTGTTGCGGTTCGATACAGTGCGACTCGGGCAACTGCTCAATGTCGAGTCAGTTGTGTGTCCTTGCTGTCGCGCTGCATTTGTCAGGTCAAAGGTCGCTGACCTTTGACTTTCACGTAACCTCCAGCGGTTACATCAACCTCCGAGGGTTGACTCGCTGGTGCCTCCATATGCGCTGCTTCGCTTGTGTCTTGGTGTTTCGACACGACAGAGGCGCTTAAGATTGTTTGTTCCCAACACCGTATTGGGCTGGTTCGCAAAATGAACTCCAGGTGACGGCTGGACCAGTGGGCCCTTCCTCTTGCGACGGTGGCTCGTAGGCGTGTGGCGATGTCACGATGACTCGCCACCAGTCCATGGCGAGGCCCCTGAGCAGCGAGACGGCATATCTGATCTTCGCTGCGTCCGACTCGATCTAGTTCGCGTCGAAAAACACGTTCATTGTGAAGACCCACGACTGAACCGTCGGACCTCTACGCTGGCTCAGGTCAAAACAGGGTGGGCGTTGCGGCTTGAGTGGCATCGGAGCCATAATGGCGTGGTCGCCACTGGTTGTTGCAAACTCCACGTGCCGACGGGCTTCGCGAGGTTCTCGCGGGCTTGGTGCGGCCCTATTTCTCTCCATGCCAGGCATTGAATGAGCGGCGCCATCACTGGCTGCACACGAGCGCGGTCCCACGCTGCCGTGTTGTGACGGTGTGCCGGACGAGATGACGATGGGCTTGTGCGTTTGTGCAGGTGTATTGGAGGGTGTCTGTGTTGGTGTAGGTGCGTTCGTGGCGGATTGCCAGCGGGCGGCGTCAAGTTCCGCCGTGAGCGTCACGACTTCGAGTGCCGAATTGTCAAGTTGGCTCACGAGACGGTCGAGTTGCTCCTGTGTCAGTGTCGCGAGAGTGAATTCGGCCATGGCGGGGGTGTCGGGCAAGCTCAGCGAGAGCCTCTGTCGTGGCCGTGCGTGCTTACGAGAAAGCACTTCGAGCTGCGGTGCTTGATTCGCTGAGAGACGTCTACCCCCCCCAAAAATTGAGATAGTGGGGAAGCGAAGGTGTGGGTGCGGTCCAAGAAGAGATCGAAGGCTCTGAATACCAAGTGTTACAAGTGCAATTGAGTGAGCGAGCGAGAATTGCACTATCGAAGCAACACGAACTAAGGAAAAGGAGTTTTCCTTATAGGGGTTAATGATTTAGGGGGGATTGGAGTCTCTCGCACTCCTCTCTCACCACCTAGTCCAATTTCACCAAACCCACCCGAGTAAAATAGGCCACAGTACTATTGATGGAGTTCACCTGCCGGCCGCCTAGCTGGCGAGCCGAGCGAGCTTGCGCAACTTGAGGCGCGACTTCGTCCTCTCCGCGCATCGCCGTCGCCACCAGCCCGGCCGGCTCCGCGTTTTCCCTCGTGTGTCGCGGCGATGGCGTTTCTCGTCGCGTTCTGCCTCCTCGCCGTGCTGAGCCACGTCGGCTGCACGCACGCGCAGGCGGAGCCGGGACTGGAGCGCGCCATGTCCTTGTATCGGGTACGGCCTCGCGGAAGAGTGGCTGGAAACAGCCCGTGTGCGCTAGCCTTCCCTCCTCTCTCCCTCTCTCTCGAATCAGCTCTCACCTCCCACACCGCGCACGGCGCAGCGGTGCAGGGATGATGCAGCCAGCGCGCCGACTCGTCTCCCCTGCCGCACGTCGCGCGTGCTCCCTATCCACACTTCCCGCCCACTCCCCTGAATACTCGCCAGGGCGCGCTCGCGAAATCTGCCTACGAGGATTTACGACCTTCCCCCCACCCTCCCGATCCGTCCCCTCTTACTGTATGCGCATCCCGCCGCTTGCAGGGCCACTGATTTCACCTCGTCCTCTCTCCTTCCTCCTCCACCCTGCACCCACCGTCCTCTCGCCCTTCTCCCCCAACCCCCCCAACCTTCACCCCCGCCAGGCATGGGAGGCCGCCTACGGCCTGCAGGGCGTGTCACCCCTTCCCCCCGCCGCCGTCGCGCTACCGCCCAGCGTGCCGCCCGCGCCGCACCTGGAGGCGTGCAGCGTGCGTTCCGCGTGGCGCCACAAGGTGGAGAAGCGGGGCGCGCAGGGGGAGGCGCAGGGGTGGGCGCGGGGGGCACACCCGCAGCCACCGTGGGTGAGTGGCGGGCGGTAGACACACCGTTGTGCAGGGGTCATGGCATGCGCAGCAGATGGGTGCCGGGCGCAGGGCAGGAGAGCGGGCAGCAAACAGACCCCTCGCCTGCAATGTGGGCGAGCTGCGGGCAGGAGGGCATGGGGTAGTGGGTGGGGGGTGGGGGACAGGCGGGGGGGAGCTGTTGGCGAGGGTCGGGGAATGAAGGGCAGAGGGGTGAGGGCAGAGGGGTGAGGGCAGAGGGGCTGAGTGCTCGAGCTGGCACTATGTGGTGGCAGATGCAGTGGGCTAGACTAGAGTCCAGGTGGTTGCTCGGTGCAGAGAGGAGCATGGGTCGGGCAGGCAAGAAGCGGCAGAGACAGAGTGATGCTGGTGATTCCATGTGCACTGCGCTTGCCTACGCCTGCTGCTGCTGCTGCTGTCAGCCTGCGACTGCCTACGCTCTTCCATCTGGCCCCAGTTGGCCCCAGCTCCCTTCATCATCCACGCACGCCCTTCCCATCCCGCACCCACAATCTCTCCTCGCCTGCCCTGCCAGCCTCACCACCATCCCAGTGCAACTCTACTTCCCGCTCCCCTCTCCCCCTCCCTTTCTTCACCCAAGGTGCGCGGGTCAGATGCAAGCAACCTGGGGCGAACGCGCGAGGCACAGAGGGACATCTGGCAGCACCAGTTCCCGGCGGGCGACTGTACCACACAGAGGCTGCTGCTCATTGAGTGGCCGGCGTCGCAGCATGGGCTGGGGTCGCAGCTGCACATCATGAGCGCCGCTCTCAGCCTCGCCATGCAGCACTCTCGCGTGCTCGTGCCCACCGCCTCCTTTGACCGCGCCAACCATGCCGAGTGCAACGGTGGGCGGGCGGGCGCCTTGTGCAGGGAGGGAGGAGAATGGAGATTGGTGTTGTTGCTTCTGTGGCGGTTGCTCCTCCCACGTCTCTCCTCTACTCGCCACTCCGCTCTTGATCACCTGCCCACGGCTCTCCACTCCACGTCTCCCTTTCATTGTCTCACTACCCCCTTTCCACCCACTGCCCGTCCTATCCGTCCAGCAGCCACAGGATCCCTGTCGTCCTTCCACTGCTACTTCGTCCCCTCGTCTTGTGCATGGGGAGAGGAAAATGGTGTCATTGCTGCTTTGGCTGTTGCGCCTTCCATGCCTCTTCTTGTACCCACTCTCGTCCCATGATCTCCTGGCCATGTCCTTTTCATCGCTTCTCCTTGTGCGCCTTGCACTGAACTGCCTCATGTCCTCCACCACCCGCTCCCCGTCCCTCTCCCTCATGTCATGTCCACTTCCCCCCCTCATCCACTCTCCCACTTCTTCCTTCTTCAGCTACTGGCGCCCTGGCGTCCTTCCACTGCTATTTCTTCCCGCTCGTCTCACCACACTGTGAGAGGGCAGCAGCGGATGCAGCAGCAGCAGGGCAGGTGGGCGAGTGTGCGTCGCACGAGCCGCCAGCGAGGGACGGCGTGCTGGCGAGTGAGAGGCGCATGGTGTGCTTCCATGGGGAGCCGTACAGCGCTCTGTGGCTCGAGGCTGCAGTGGCCAAGTGAGTCATGCTGTCCCCTGCTGCACCTTGCATGCATGCACATGTACGCTCACGCATGCGCTCACTCATGCACACCCACGTGCGCTCACGCACACGCGCACCTGACCCGTGCTGCGCCGTGCATGCAGTCATGCATACGCGCATGCGCACTTACAGTCGTGCACACAGGCACACGCCTGGAAATGCAGGCGCGCGCGCGTGCGCACACACACACACACACATGCACACACACACACACACACACACACACACACACACACACACACACACACACACACACTCACACGCATACGCATTTGCGCGCGCGCGGACACACACACACACACGCGCGCGCGCGCGCGTGCGTGCATGTGCAGCGGTGCATGCCTGTGCTGCTGTGGTTTGAGCGACTAACAACGCACTCCATTGATCCCCTTCCCTCGACTTGCCTGTGTGTGGGTGTGCAGGCGGTGGTGGGGTGCATGGTATGAGCGGCCCAACACAGTGGAGGTGAAGGGCAAGATGGCGGAAGAGGCTGACGTCATGCCGCATGTGAGATGGCATGCCGCATGTGAGATGGCATGTCGCATGTGAGATGGCATGTCGCATGTGAGATGGCATGTCGCATGTGAGATGGCATGCCGCATGTGAGATGGCATGCCGCATGTGAGATGGCATGCCGCATGTGAGATGGCATGCCGCATGTGAGATGGCATGCCGCATGTGAGATGGCATGTCGCATGTGCGATGGCCTGTCGCATGTGAGATGGCATGCCGCATGTGAGATGGCATGCCGCATGTGAGATGGCATGCCGCATGTGAGATGGCATGTCGCATGTGAGATGGCATGCTGCATGTGAGATGGCATGCCGCATGTGCGATGGCATGCCGCATGTGAGATGGCATGCCGCATGTGAGATGGCATGCCGCATGTGCGATGGCATGCCGCATGTGCAATGGCATGCCGCATGTGAGATGGCATGCCGCATGTGCGATGGCATGCCGCATGTGAGATGGCATGCCGCATGTGAGATGGCATGCCGCATGTGAGATGGCATGCCGCATGTGCGATGGCATGCCGCATGTGAGATGGCATGTCGCATGTGCGATGGCATGCCGGATGTGAGAAAATGGTAGTGCACCGCAGCATGGCATCGCCTGGTAGTGCACCACAGCTGCTATCGTACGTGCTTAGAGCGCAGGCAGGACATGTCGTAGTCTCTCCTGCCTAATCCAGACGCTCCGCACGCCCTTCTTCCCACCTCCGCATGCCTCTCTCACGCCCCTCTTTCCATGTCCCCACGCCCCTCTTTCTATGTCCCCACGCCCCTCTTTCCATGTCCCCACGCCTCCCTCTCGCTCTGCCAGGTGCACTGGTGGCGGGCACAGTCGCTGCGCTTCATGCTGCGCTGGCCCTCGCCCTACCTCTGCCACCTCACCAACCGCCTGCGCCACTCCTCCCTCTCCCTCTCCATCGCCTCCCGCCTCTCCTCCTCCTCCGCCCTCCAATCCTCCCTCCTGCGCTCCCACCCTCACCTGAAAAAGACATTGCAAAGAAATGCTCCCCCATGCAGCTCTGCTCGTGCTACCAGCGGTGGGGATGGTGGTGCCAGCAGCAGCAGGAGAAGGTTGCTGGAGATTGTAGACACGAGCGCAGCCGGTAACACGAGCGCAGCCGGTAACACGAGCGCAGCCGGTAACACGAGCGCAGCCGGTAACACGAGCGCAGCTGGTAACACGAGCGCAGCCGGTAACACGAGCGCAGCTGGTAACACGAGCGCAGCCGGTAACACGAGCGCAGCCGGTAACACGAGCGCAGCTGGTAACACGTGTGCAGCTGGTAACACGTGTGCAGCTGGTAACACGAGCGCAGCCGGTAACACGAGCGCAGTCGGTAACACGAGCGCAGCCGGTAACACGAGCGCAGCCGGTAACACGAGTGCAGCCAGTAACACAAGCGCAGCTGGTGACACCAGTGCAGCTGGTAACACAAATGCAGCTGGTAACTCAAGTGCACCTGGTAACACAAGTGCACCTGGTAACACAAGTGCAGCTGCTGAAACGGCAGACGGAGGAGGCAGCAGCTTTGCAGCAGGTGCAACAGAAATCCCAAGCTCTTCTCAAGAGAGCAGCAGGATGTTCCCATGGCAGCAGCAAGGGCAGCAGGGGTGCACTCTTGAGGCCACTGCATGGGCTCGCGAGGGACTGGGCCAATGTGCTCCCACCAGCGCACCCTGCAGCACTGCTCATGCTGGTGCCAGTGCTGGTAGCGGCAGCAGTAGCGGTAGTGATGGCAGCAGCAGCGACAGTGGCAGCAGGTCGCAGCCACCAGAGCAGGCGACAGGTGGGGTGGGTGAGGGGGAAGCGTGGGCCAGCAATGAGTGGGGCGGGGAGGGGGCGGGGGAGGCGTACCTGCCGCGGCCGATAGTGAGCATGCATGTGCGGCAGAGCGACAAGGGCGGGGAGATGGCGCTGCACTCGCTGGCCGCCCACATGTGGATGGCCTACCGCCTGCGCCTCGCGCTGCCCCACCTGCGCCACATCTGGCTCTCCTCCGAAATGCAGGTGCGCTGGGGGGGGGGGGGGGGAGGGGAGGGGTGTGGGAAGTGTGGAGCGGATAGGGCTATGGAGTTTTATGGGTGGATGCATGGAGGGTGTGAGCAGGGAAGTTTGGGGTAGCATAACCATATGTGCATGGCATTGAGGGTGGAAAGCTTTGGGTGCACTGTGATATGGCCACCCTGCCCGCTATTCCCCACTTCCATGCCAACACCTCTATCTCTCTCTGTGCATTGGTGCAGACGGTGATAGACGAGGCGGCGCAGTATCGCGATTGGACCTTCCTGCACTCCAGCAACGCGCGCACCAACGTGTCGGTGCCGCACTGGGACGTGGAGGAGGCAGCGGGGCGGCACGTGGTGGTGGGCAGCAGCCTGGCGGAGCTGCTCACTGCAGCGCAGTGCGACTTCTTCATCGGGGCGCTGGGGTCCAATTGGGTGAGGATGATCAATGAACTACGCTCCACCAATGGCCGCCTGCTGCATGGATTCATTGCCCTCAACATACAAGAGTTTTGATGTATGTGTGTGTTTGTGTTCTAACCATGTTGTAGCGCCAAAATATTTGAGCCGCTGTCTTTAGAAAGGCCCTATCCTAACATGAAGTTCCTCAGGCTATCTGTTACGGGTGCAATGGAGTGAGCGAACGAAGATTGCACTATCGAAGCAAAGGTACCGTCACCCCCCGGATATAAGCGCCACCCTAGGATAAGCGCCTGGCGCTTCTAATTGGCATATGGCGCTTATATCCCCTCCTCGATTATAAGCGCATACCCTAGAGTCGTACGGATTATAGCCGCATACCTGTACCTTACACATTATAACTGCCACTTTTTAAAAAAAAAAAAAATTCTACACGCTTCACTAACCACATTAACATTGTATATTTTCTTCTAATTAATTACAAAGTCAATTTGTCTAAAGTTTTTTCTAATTACAGTTCTAAATCTACCTACGAGTCTCACAGGCTACAACAATTTCTAGATCTACGTAATCTAGTCATCAGCTGCGGTAGGATCATCCGGGTCGGCCTCAGAGTCCGACTCTGGTTCTTCTACGTTGTTGCAGAAAAAGCCATCTGCTGCAATGTCGTCGTCGATGTCTATTTCGTCGCCCTCAAGCTCGTCGCGCCTGTGTTGCAGGCACATCTTGTCCTGGGACCCATCCAGGGCGTTACTAATGCCACAGGTGAGGAAAGCCCGTTGAATCAAGTCCCTGGGCACGGCCTTCCAAGCCGCTGATATCCACTTGAGCGTTAGCTCGGGTGGTGGCTTCTTGATGTTGCCTGCCATAAAATTTAAACAATCAAAAGTCAGCCACCGCTACAAACTGTTAAAGCAGCACACGCATGGCCTGCCTCTCTCACCTTTCTTTGTCAAGGTGTCGACCCCCTCGCTCTCGAACCACTCCTGGTAGAGCTGGCGAACGGATGCCTTGAAGGAGCGATTCACCGCGACGTCCAGAGGTTGAATCTCCGAGGTGCAGCCAGCTGGGATAACGGCAGGGACGATGTTCAGCTCCCCGAACTTCTTCTTCACCTCCGCAGTCAGGTGCCCGCGGTACGAATCCAAGACGAGCATCGCTTTGCGGGGCCTCACTCCGAACTTGGGGTGGACGAACGGCTTCACTGCCCCGTCGAGCCACTCGATGACTCCGTCCGCGTCCATCCAACCGTTGGGATGGACGGACACCGTAACATCTGCACAGCCATAAACGCACGTACAACATCAGTAGACATAGAAAAAAAAAAAAACATGCAGCAGTGGGTGTTAATGCTCACCTGAAGGGAAATCCCCTTTAGGCAGGGTCTTCCGTTTGAAGAAGACCCACGGCTTCAGCTTCTCACCGCTGGCAGTGCAGGCGAGCATCACCGTAACTCGCTCCTTCTGATAGCCGCCGCTGCGGATAGGCACAGAGCGCAGACCCACCTCCTCGACTGTGCGTTCGGCAGGCATCTCGAGCCACAGTGGTGTCTGGTCCGCGTTTATTATCCACTGCGGGTCAATCTTGTATTGGCGGCGGGTGTGACGCACGAACTTCCAGAAATTCCTGACGTCAGTCTCGCAGTCTGGGAGTACGGGTGGGAGGGAAAGAGAGAAGAGAGTATTAATGACGCGTTAAAATTCAACCGTGAAACATAAAGAGACAAACAACACAAAGCAGTACACATTAAACTGCAACCATTTCCCACAAAACTCACTGGCAGCAAGCTTCTGGCCGACCCTGGTCTTCGCTCGGGTTGTCAGATTCCAACGGCGGCGAAACCGCTCAGTCCACCGCTGCGAGCCGGACCACTTTACCTGTGGGTGCAATTCTTTCATCACCTCATGCGACCACTTCTGTAGGCGAGCAATCGAGACCGCGAGACATTTTTTACGGTGGGCAAGAAACCTCCTGTAGACTTCAGCTTCCATGTCGCGATACCACGAGCTCCTTCCGCGCCCATGAAGACGCTTGCGAGCAGCATGCGCGCCCTCCAGGTCAGCCTTCCGGGTCTTCCATTCTGCGAGTGACCTTCGGGAGATGCCGGTTTGGCGAGACATCTGCCGCACGCTCATGTGCCCGGACTCAAGCTTGAGAATCCACTGCAGTTTCTCCTGCGATGTGTAAGAGTGCCGCTTGTGACTTGAAGGCTTGTGCCTGGGGGAGGGAGGACGGGCATCGCGATTCTCGCGAGAAGGGTGGGGCCGTTTCTTATTGGGGGGGGGGAAGGTGGGAATAGGCAGGTGCTCTGGAAGACCGTCGGCAGCCCAAAACTCCACGTCATCCTCCGCACCAGTCGCGGATTCGTCCAACGGGCAATCAGCCGGGGCTCCCCAGCGTGGCGACGGTGCGGAGGAAGACGATGCGCCACCGGCGCGGTCGGGCTCGGACAGGTACGCGTCAAACGCCGAGTAGCCAGGAGGGAGGAGAAGCTGCAGGACCCCCTGACGTGGAGCACAAAACACAGGCGGGTCAGGAGGGGACGGAGGAGCTGGAGGAACCGGAGGCGCCGGGGGAGCGGGAGGTGCAGGAGGAGTTGGGGGAGTGGGAGGAACGGGAGGAGCTACTGGTTGACACGGAGGGACGGGCGCAGGGCGCGACTGCCATTGAGAGTAGTCACAGGTGTCTCGGCGGGTGTTTTCTCTGGCAGCAGGATGGCGGCGGAACAAGAAATGCGTGCCTGGAAGGCCCGCCATGGCCACGGCAGGCCAAACGAACAAAGAAACTGAAGGCAAAAGTCGAGAATGAGGGCTGTATGAAGCCCTCGCCCGAGACCCCTTCATTTTCGCGGCCCGGCCTCCTCTGCGGGAAAAGGGTGGCCCCAGTCAAGATTCCCCGCAGAGGAGCTGAGCTGGGCAGCTCCTTGCCTCGGTGGCGGGGAATTTTGCTGTTGATGGGCACACCGTGGCTGAACCACGACGTGCCCACGATCGCATGCAACCCTGATTGGGCCGCTGTGATGCGAGGTACGTGTGCACTGGCATGGGCCAGGTTCACGTTCGATGAACCTGGCCTGGCCAACAAGGCGTGGAAGGCGTGAAGCCACGCCTTGTTGGCTGTTTCACACGCAATGCATGCACAGTTTCGAACGTTCTCGACCCAGGTGAATCCGCGTTTGAGAATGCTTCGATTTGGTATATTAAAAAACAAATTTCAAATTTGACAAATTATAAACGCCGGCGCTTATAAATTTACTATATTATAAGCCCACCCCCTCAAAAAAACATGTTATATTATAGCCCCCCATGGGGGTATATCCGGGGGGTGACGGTACAATGAGCGAAGGCATGAGCGAAGGATTATATAGCGAAACTACAGTGGTAACGGTAATGGACTGTGGTTGTCGCGCGACGGGCCTGGGACTGAGGTTGGGAAAAGTGTCGAGGCGGAGGTCCGGAGCGCGGGTTACCGTCGAGCCGTGAGGTCGGGGTACGACATGCGAAAAATGGCGGGCGGATTATTGATGCGAGTGGTAACGGTGCTGACTGAGGTGCTACAGTGATGTACGCGTTGAGCGGGGATGCGAAGTAAGGAAAAGGAATTTTCCTTACACTACCCCCCTCCCCAAGGAGGCCCCTCTTACGAGAGCGCATGGACGTCGCGGAAATGTCGGCTTCGCAGGTACTCGGTGAAGACAGGGTGGTTCTCGATTTTATCCAGGGGGACCCAGTTGTCTTCTGTGGGCGTTCGGTCCTTCCAGCGAATTAGGAACTCGATCCTTCGGGCTCCCCGAGGGTCGCGGACTCGGTGGCTGAGGATTTTTTCAGGGGTGATGATTGGTTCGGTTGGGGGGCGTGTCATGCTGGCTGGGCGATTTCGTGGCAGTTGGCTCGTGGATGGGATGTAAGGGCGAAGTAGGCTGACGTGGAATGACGGGCTGACGTACCAGTCAGCAGGGAGGAGGAGGTGGGCGGTGACGGGTGTGATCATGTGGCTGATGCGAAATGGCCCACAATATCGTGGGCGAAGTTTTGGAGTGATGGGCAAGCGGAGGTTCTGAGTATCGAGTAGTACTAGGTCGTCTGGCTGGTAAGTGACAGGTCGGCGGTGGCGATCGGCGTTGCGCTTAGCGATGATGTTGGCTTTTTTAATTGCGTCTGTTGCCCTGGTCCGTGCTGCTTGCAAAATCTCGGCGAACTGTTGTGCGCGTGGGACTGGATTGTCGGGATTTGGGGTCATGGGTACTGTTGGGTCCTATCCGTAGTTCAGGTAAAACAGTGACTGTTGGGTCGTGGCGGAGGGCGAATTGTTGTACGCGAATTCAATGAGTGGCAGTTGCTGTTCCCACGTGTTCGGGTCGTCGCACGTGGCCCGGATGAGCTGCTCCATGGTCTGGTTTGTCCGTTCTGTCTGTCCGTCCGTTTCGGGGTGGTACGAAGAACTGAACTGTAGTCGCGTGCCAAACTGCTGCCACAGGTTCCGCCAGAAGTTGCTGGTGAATTTCGTGTCGCGGTCGCTGATAATTGCCGATGGTATCCCGTGGAGGCGAACAACGGTGGCGATGAAGAGGCGGGCTGTTTCTTCGGCTGTGATTGATTTCTTGCAAGCTGCGAAATGTGCCATTTTCGTCAGTCGATCGACGACGACCAGGATCGCGTCGTTCCCACTCGCCCCGGCCGGTAATCCCGTGACGAAATCCATCGTCACCTGCTGCCAAGCACGCTCTGGGGGTGGAATCGGCTGCAACTGTCCTGCCGGCCGCTTCCGTGATGATTTCATGACCTGGCAGGTGGGACACGACGCCACGTGTCGCTGGATGTCGGTCAACATTTCTGGCCAGTAATAATACCGCTGCAGCTGCTGCCGTGTTTTTTCTACCCCAAAATGTCCCGAGGTAACTCCGTCGTGTGCCTCCTGTAACAGTAATTCCAGTAGTAGTGTATACCCGGGTACCCAAATGCGGTCGGTCCCGGCTTTTACGTAATAGACCCCTCGTGCTGCTGCGAACTGCTGCGAATTGCCTCCGGTGAAGAATGGGTCTGTTTGATATCCGTGGGTAAATAGTCCTGTCAGTAGTGGGCTAGTCTGGGCGAGTA